CTGAAGTTATGCCATCACATAGAGAGGCTGAAACAAGGCAAACTGTAACAGCAGCCAGGGCAGCGCCGACCCTGCCAGACCCATGAGCAATAAGCCCTGAAGGAGCCAGCGTTTGGATACTGACTCATGGGGCACGCAGGGGTTACATGTTACTCAAGACTCCACCTGGAGGGACAGAATCGACGTTACAGCTTCACCCCGACTTCCAGAGTGGAGGAAGTGTGCCGTGCATTGCTGACACATTACCTCATCCCCTCATCAGTGAACAAAAAGCTGTTCAAGTCTCACAGACTCCACTGACTTTATGAAATCCCAAAGGAAAATAATCCCTGTAGTGTTTACATTGCATAGCACATGTGCACACGTGGACATGTTTTTTTTACGGAGATGAAATGTTTTGATCCTGGTTTTGGATCCCCAAAGATGGAGAATGTTTCTTCTTATATAATGTTTTTAATATTGTTGAATTTCCAGTTAATAAGGAAGCGTTGGTATGCTGAAAAAAAAAAAATCATCAGATGTTCTTCCCCATGCTCTTGAAGAGAATTTGGATCCTCTCTCTTCTGTGCTGTTGTATAGCTGTTTTCACTTTCCACGTTTATGCCTAAAGTCTAGGTATATCTGCCTGCCCGAAGAATGCTAATGTCAACGCATTCCACTTCTTTCACACAATGCTCGACAGACATTTTCCTTTGCGTCAACATCGTCATGGTAGGGATCATGATTTTAAATTGAACCTCACGTTTTTTCAACAAGCATCCTGCAAAATCACCACATCATCTATTATTGTGTCTTAGCGGGCCCTAAGTTGCCTCCTACTGGTCTTCATGCAGTTCAAACCGTTTGCATCTCAAGCTCACACACGTTCACAGGTTGATCAATTTCAATGGAGAGAATGTTTAGGAAGTGCAAATAAGACCTTTTAAGGGCTTTCTGTGTTAAGTTTTGATGTAATATTTTTACAAGTCATGTATCATTTAAGCTTGTCGGTCTGCCTGCGACCTCAGTGTTGTCACTTTTGACTTTTACAATCACTGTTAGCAATGAAAACAGATGTGTACAGTTTTATGGGTTTAACCATGAATATCAGCAACAGAATGTACATTTTGTAGAAACTTAATATTTTAAGGAAATCATATACATAAGTTAGAAATGTGAAGCTAAAGGGGATTGGGGTGAATATTTCACAGTGGATTCCATTCTTCTTTTTAATACTTAACGCAGTGCTTTTAGTTTGAAATACTCCCAGTACTAGACTCTGCCTTGCTTTACCTACGACATCTCTCAGGTTTATGTGGTCTTTGTTAGTACAAGCTTTTGTAGCATACTGTTTATAATATACTTAAGAATTTTCTTGTTACCCCCCTTTTTCCCCCTCACTTTAAAAGACTTGTGCCATATGATATTCAACACAGGATCGAAGTGCTGTTGATTTCCCTCTTGCATCTTCTATAAAGTACTTGAAAAATATGTGTTGCAAAACGTCACTTGTCCATTATGTCACACCAGATAAACAATGTGTTTATGATGTTGTGTATTTTCCTTTTTTTCTATAAAGCTACCAAAAACAAAAAGGATGTACACGTGGTCTTCCTGATTGATGACATTTTCACAGAGAGGACTGCTTCTCAACTATTCCATTTCAATTCACCCGTACAACCTACAAAAACATGTCATGAACGGCCTGATTTAGAGAGTAATTCAGGGGAATTTATATAAAGTGAGAGCGTTGCACAATAATAATTGTGTACTGTGTAAAAATCCCTTCAAAGTCCAACATTTCCATCATTAAACTCCCAAAATGAGCCTCTGTGATGTTTTGTTTTCAAATTTTCCCTCCTCGAGTGCGAGAGAAAAGCTAAGCCTGCTTGTGTTTGTTTATGGCATGAAATGTTAGACAATAGCTGCCAAAACAAGTTAAGAACACTTTAGCAACTTTAAAAAATGATTCAAATTGATCACAAATGTCGAAATCGTGTTCTCAGATTGTCTTCGAAGTTCAAAAGCATTCTTACTCAGCGATTCCGTGAAGGCAAACCAAATTAGGCATAAATCTTAAGGTTACCACAGAGGACACGTCGGTGTTTTGAACTTTAAATCCTTTAGGACTGATTTTCCCCAATCAATAAAACTTAACACTGCTGTTACGGTTGGACTGTGGAAACTGTGACACAGCGCTCACATGAGAAACGACTGAATTACTCGCTAGAGATGAGTCCAATATAAACCAATCAGCCACGGTATTAAAACCACAAACAGGTGAAGTGAATAACATTGATTATCTCATTATGACGCAATGTTGTGCTGGGAAACCTCAGATTCTGGCATTTGTTCAGATGCTACTTTGACATGTACCACCCGCGAAAGATAGATAAACAATCCATGACGTCTCTCATAGGCATCTGAAGCTCAATTTGATGGCTTTGGCTGTTGCCATGTTGCCAATTAATGAGTCCTCCTGACTCCCAGTTAAATGGGTAACATAGTGGAGCATGGACTGGGATATAAAAACATCCACCTATCGCTAAAAGCAGCCACACTCTTAAATATACATACATTTAACTCTTTATGGGGCAAGTGACCATATGTGGTAACTTCCTTGGACGTTCAATATGTCCACCTTGTGCCTCTCCTTGAGGTTCAAGAACCATGTACACTTTGATTTAGTTTTTATATTAGTGCCAATATCACTACCCTATGAAAAATGGTCACTAAACAGATGTTCCAGGCACTTCATAAACGCTTTGTTACTGGTTTGCATTGAACTCCACTTTGATTTATTTTTTGAGATTAGTGCCAAAACCACTACCCCAAGAAAAATGTTACTAAATGAACTTGCCAAGCACTTTAAAAAAACGTTGCGACTGGTAATTACCTCAAACTGAAATGTTTCTAAATAAATGTTTTTTTGCTTTTATTTATCGTAAATTTCCTTTAAAAAAATAAATAAAAATAAAATGTCGACGGGCATGTTACCACATATCGTAACTTTATTAATCTTGATTTGCAACACTAATTTTTTTTTTTTTAAGTCACAAAAGTAAAAAAAAAAATCTTGAAATATCCTTCAGCAACACCCTAGGGTTGAAATTTTCATTTTCCAAGTATTTCAAGGAGTGCCCTATAAAGGGTTAAGCCTTAATACAATTGAAATGGGTAGGTTACATCAAAGTTAACTCCCTGTACTGTTGTCATGAACAGGAAAATTATCTATAGAGACCAAAACCGCTTTTGTACCAGGCTGTAAACATGTTTATTTCTATTTCAAAACTGAACATTTTAACATAGGGAGATTGACTTACTTTTAGAGACAGCCTCAAGTGGCCACTTAAGGAACAGCAGTTTTTGGCACTCATGTTTGGAGATAGCTTAAGGTTCTAAAGTAAAAGTCCAGGTACCAGACACAACAAGACACCTGTACAGGTCCTGTGTCCCTACTCTGACAGACCAGGGCTGTTTTGATGCCATAAGAGGGGAAACACAGTATTAGGAAGGTGGTTTTAATGTTGTGAGTGATCAATGTAATCACTGTCACAATATTACCCTCTTAAATCCTAGAAACTTGCTGAAGTGTCGCCTTTATTGTTGGTATGTACACTATATTTACTACATGTACAGAGAATAAGAAAGCAGGGCTGATTGATTTTGGGAAAATATCCAATTGCGATTTTTTGTGTGACAGACACTACAATTTGATTTGAAATTTAATATTTTTTCAATATAATGATAGCTTTAAATCATTGCCACAGGAGGCACCATCAAAAGCCTGACTGTCACACAAAGAGGACGCCGTGAATCTGTAACACCACTGAAGCGACAGATTCAATCCTGGGTCAGACGTTCTGCATAATGTACATCCTAAACTGCAGCCTTTGCGATTTGCTAATTGCTTTGTTTCAAATTGATTAACAGTTCAGCCCTAAAAGAAAGTCAAAGTTCAAATAAATAAATAAAGGATCAATAACAGCCAGACAAGCAAATTTAGACCTCAGAGATTTTTAGTTCACTTCCATATAAAAAGCACACATACTGTACAGTAAGCAAACATTTAACTGCCAGCACATTTCAACTGATCAAAACTGCTGTCGGAAGCAAAAAAAAAGTGCTTCAGCAGACTGACAGTTACGAAGGAAGCTGCGTCTTCGTCTCCCAACTGATCCATCAGTATACAAACACACTGTATAAATAAAAGTTGTACAAATAATAAATTAGGGTGAGATCCTGTACAACTAAATCGATCAGTTCCAACTACTAAACCGAAGAGTTCTCTGCTGAAAGGACTGCAGGCATGAGTTAAGAGGAAGATGTTCCGCTAAAACACGTAGACATAAATAAAGAAGTGGTAAAAAAAAAATAAAAAAATGTTGAGCTTCTACACATTTTCCATCTCAGTTCATCTAGACAGTCTGCATATGGCTGTTATTAGTACTTGGCCTGTAATTCACAGATTTACATAACTGCTGTAATCACACGTGGGGCAATGCAGTTTCACCAGAATAGCTTCGGACACCCTGTAACTTTTCAAAACTAAACTATGACAAAGTGCACTCGATAGGATAAATAAACAACACACACACATACACACACAACAGTATGCTCCACATTCACAACTCTGGTCATAACCAAAGGACGGAAAAAAATACCATGCTCCACAAAACCATGAAAATGACACCAAACCACTTGGAACGAATGCTTTACACCGACATGTCTGATCAAAAAGGAGGGGCGGGGGTCTGATCAATACTGATTCTAATAACAGACAAATCACACACAAATACACAAACAGTATTTCCTCTCACTGAAGCCAGTAAAATGGCCATTACTTCTTCTTTACTGTGGCTGTTCCCTTCAATTTCATCTCAGTCGATTTAAATGAGATTAATGTCGAAGCTTCCGCCGAGATTCACTTAATAAGTCTTTCCATAAAAACAGCAGGGAGTTACAGTGTTTTATAATCTTGTTGCAAGTGTTGGCGAACTCAGCCAGCAACAAAAATAGCTCTTTTGTAGTGTGACTTTCTTTATATTTGGATAGGCCCATAGGAAAGATTTGTTTAAATGTGAAAACAATTAAGAGGTCCCTTTTTTTCCCTGCTGTTAAACAAAATAAGATTGTATTTTGTTGCGACCGATGGCTTTTGCCAACATTCATTTAATGAAATTGTGGCTCCGGCCTTGCCAAGTCATTATTAGCCTGTCGTGCTAAACCCCAACCAATCAGAGAAGAACGAGTCGCTCCAGTGAGCCACTGACGACTATGTGAGTTTCCAATGATGGGACATGTTTTAACAGTCGCGTCCTGCCTCTTTTTTTTTTTTTTTTTCTTCTCGTCAGTGCACTTATATAAAAATTACATGTGGAAACAAACCATGAACCAAAATGGAAGAATGGAACCCATGTGTCTTTGCAAGTCAAACATGTTCCTCAGCATCTCTGATTTATCTCCAAAGACACTCAGAGAGCCCATTGAGCTGCCAAACACAGAAACATTTCTGGTTTTCTATAACACTGTCGACTAGTGCATTATGAAAAAAAAAAGAAAAAAACAAACAAACAAACAAAAAAACCAAAACACAGCAATTTAGAAAAATCTAATGGAAAGCATTTCTGTAACTTCTGTGTCACACTGTCACACATTCAAGAGTCTCAGTTCTGGAGCTTCGACTGGACTTTGATTACAGAATGTCCCCACATGTGTTTTATGTTATTCGCTCTGGAGGGATTAGCAGAGAGCGGTCTGGCGATTAATCCCACTCCAGTCAGCGCTCTCACTTCCTGGGGAGCAGTGCTGCAAGTCTCTGCTTCTTAATGGGAAGGAAGTGGATCTCCTGTGAGCTGACCTTCTTCAGTTTGATTGCTCTGCTTTTAGAGACCTTTTTCAGCGGGTCGTTGGGGTCGTGCTGTTCCCCATGCGATGACGACGGCACTCCGTAGAGCTGCTGCAGAGACGCCCCCTGGCTGCCGTCCCGTTTGATGGAGAAGTTCTTGGTGGAGACTCCTGAAAGGCCTTTAATCTTTCCGCAGAAGATGGCAGGGATCGCATCTTTCACCGAGACGATGACCTTGGCCGTCTGCGGGGTGCTGACTATCTCCAGGTTTCCAGCTCCGCTCAAAGACGCCTCTTGACCCAAGGAGCTCGACCCGGCAGCGCTGCTGTCAACCAGCCACTTGTGCTGCCGGCTGAACTCCAGTGAAGCCAGACTGCCCAGAAGTTTGGAATCTACACTCTGGGTGCACTCAACCCCCAAAGACAGAGCAGTGCCACTTGGATCTTGACCGGACTGTAAAGCTGCCACTCTGTCAGACTGAACGCACTTTTTCCTCACACCAGGCACTGATAGGTCGAGCACACTGTCCTGCTGCGGACTGGGATATTCCTGTTTTGGTTCAACCGGACATGCCCTGACAGAAAGGTCCAGAGCCTGTCCTTCCTCTGGAGGAATCGAGGATGGGGACACATTTTGTGGCTGGAATGGTGGCGTGCATTTCCTTGAAGACAACGAGGGAGAGGTAGTATCTTTTGGCGAAGTCTGAGTGCTTTTACTCACAGTGCAAACTGGTTTTGGCATGTTCCCCTTGGAGTCCTCAGTCTGAGGGACAGGGATGGGGATGGGGAGAGGAACCGGCAGAGGCACTGGCAGGGGTATAATGACTGGGTAAGGGACCAGAAGGGTGGCAGGGGGAACCAGAGGGGCCAGAGGGGAGGAGTAGGGAGGTGTGAGGGGAGGAAGGGGGAAGAAGGCAGAACCTGGTGACTGACATGTTGAAGAACCTGCCTGGGAAGGGAAGAGGTCCTGCAAGATGGCTGCAAAAGCTGGATTCTGCAGGAGAGAGAGCAGGTTAGCATCCTGCGTCTGTCCTGCCGCCTTCTGGTCGGCAGCTGGAGGTAAACCGAATGTCAAAGGGTTCTGACACAGGACGTTGTTTTGGAGCGGCAACTGTCCGCAGTTAGGCGTCTGAGGAATAACAGAGGGGCTCATATGCTGGAGGACCTGTTGGTCTAAAACCAGGGGAAGGGACACTGGGCTTTGGCTTGTTATCAAGTACGGTGCTGCCCCCATTTGGCTGAGCTGAGGCCCCGCCGCTCCGGCCATCTGGAGGTGGATGGGCAGCATCAGCGGACTCTCCCCCAGACACACCGGGTGGAGCACAGTCGTAGCTACTTTGAGTGCCATTCCTCCTGGAGTTTCAGGGGTGGGACTCACCACTGACGGTGCCGGCGCCTCCGCTAGGTTAGTTCCTTTGCTCAGTGCTGTCCTGCTGCCGTCACAGGAGTCAGCAGGAGTGAGCGGATTTACTCCATCTTCCACTTTGCTGGTGACTTCTGCTCCTCCCACCTCAGCGCTGCACACATCAGTCTGCGGCTGTGTCATGGTGACATCATTGTTACCCTCCATGATTCAGCCCGAAGAGTCCACAAAAAATCCTCATCAAGTGTTAGTGACAGGTCTCATCCATTATTCTTCTATGTAGCCCTGAAACACAAAAAGCAGAATATTTAATCATGAGCAGCGCTTGCAAAAAATGTGAAGAATCTTCGTCTGTACCCAAAACGACACATAGTTTCGTAGAATTTTCTTGACTTTGTCCTTTATGTGATCACATTTGAAGGACACTCGCTGTGTGTTGTGTCTTATGGAACTCAGTAAGGATTACTGCTGGGAAAATTCTGTCTGTTTTTATATTTAGCATTATAAATAGACTTTCTACACGATAATTACAGCAGAATATTCTGTAGAAGTAAAACTGAGTTAAATTACAGCATGCTGCAGTGTCATAAAAGCAGGCAAGTCATTAAAAAGAGATTAAAGAAGAACTGAAGCAGCAGCTGCGACATAGTGAGTTACAGTATCTTGTGTGGATATAAGTTTAAAACACTGGTTCCTACACGCCCCATAATGAAACCATTCTGCCTGGCAAACACCCATGTCTTTGAAACTCCACACCTCGACTTGGGACTTTCTGCTATAAACGTTAGCATCTAACTTTGATGAAAAGGTCTCAGGTGTGACAAAGCTCCTCCAGCTTACAAGTGGTACAATTGGTGGTGTCCCTTTAAATAAAGCCCAACAAACAGGACCAGGCTCTCAACGTTCACTCAGCAACAGTAGCTGCTCACTGATGGAAAATCTCTCCCACTGTTGTAAAAATTAAAATGCTTTAGCTGTTCATTCGAGCAGAATTTTACACTTCATTAACAATTTATATCATATATCATCCCAAGTAACCAAAACAGCACAGGAAATTAAAACTGTGAATACAACTGGCTATCTATTGTCTCAGAGCTCAATTATCCCCAGCTGTAGCTGGGATTAAAGATTAAAAGGTAAACAGAGAATACAGAGGTAATAATAGACAGTGGGTTATTTGTCTAAGGTGCAACACTTTCAACCGCCTTGCTGTTAACAGGAACAGATATCATGAATACAAGTTTGCATGCCTACAGTTTTGATATTTTCTAATATGATGCCAGTAGAAGAATGATGTCATCTTTGTTAAGCGGGATAGGATTTGTAAAAATGAGTTTTTCAAGCAAAATATGGCGATTATTCTATTCTGACTCTATAATATGTGGATCAACCATCGATCATGGTTCAGAATTTGATGTGGAAACGTTCAACACACTTTTTTTGTTGTTTTTATTGAGAGAGTACATGTAGTCTTAAAACTAGGGGTTGACCAATTTGTATTTTTTAGGACCAATACAGCTATCGAACATTAGCATTCAAAAAGACTGACGTGAACTGGTGTGCATCTGCAATTAAAGCAAAAATCTTTGTGCCAAAATTTAGAATTACACAAATTCCAACAAGAAAACTTTGTTGAAATACCGTTGTGTATTCATGCTTTAAATATGTTTCATTAAAAGAAAACTTTTAAGCATTTATCCTGTATTACTCCTGAAAATGTACCCAATCAGATAGTGTGAGGTGGCTACATCAGAGTCAGAACAGAACATTTTAAAATCTATTTATTTAATTGGGACTCGGTTACTAATAATGATAATAAAAAAGCTGAATATCAGATCAGATAAACGGTAAAGCTGATAGTCAGTCAACCATTACTTAAAACACATCTCAAAGGGATTTTTGAGCTCTTTAAACAAAGTAGACGTGTCATTGATTAATCAAGGAATATTTACCAGACTAATCGATGTTAATGATAAATTGCAGTCTTCCTCCTACAGTGACTCACATTCCTCTCTTCATTCTGCTGCTCGTGTTTCCTGATTACAGACGTACAGTAAAGGGTTTCCTTTATTTAGCTGCCCATCCATCCAACCCTCCCCCTCCTCCACTCTTTGGTTCAGTCGCAGAGGTTAAGCCTGGGGTAATAAGCCATATGCAACTGGAGGGAGGGAAGCTTTTTATTAGCGAGACTTGGAACCCCCCAGCTACAAAATCTACATAGAAAAGGTCACACAGGAAGAGATGACCCAGTTTTGATCAACTATCTATCTAAACATCTATCCATCAACTGAGACAACACCTCCGTTGCTGTTGTGCTTTTTTCTAAGCCTGCTGCTGTATGTTGCTCTTCACTACATGACACCTACACACAACACATGTCCCCCCTGCACTGGCTGTCAACCCCCCAGCCACACATGCTGATAAAGTGTCCCACGGGTGCCTGGAGAAACAATGCACCCAATGTCAGCAAGGTCAATTATTCATACTGATGGGAGCGACGGGGATACAGTTCGTGCCTCAGAAAAAGGGAGAAACTTTAAATACCCGCAAACGTAGCAACAAAGTATTCTGTATCTTTAAAGTGAAAAACTCAATTAAATGCACGCATGCAGTTCCAATTTTCGAGCAAAAGTGTGACACTTCTTTTTTTCCTCCTCTGAGCAGCTTTCATGTGGTGTTGGGTTGCCTCAGTGAGCGGAGAGGAGGAGCCCTCTATCCCCCCAGGCTGGTTTTAGATTGTTCTGTAGCATAGATGAGACATTGTAATAGGGCTCTGATGGATTACATGGACGACTCTACAGCCAGGCGGTCGGCTGATAATCTTGTCGCCGGTTTGTGCATGAGAAAGGTCTGAGAAGTGTGGTGGGCACCTTGGGAATAGGAAAACATGCCTAAACGTACTCTGTAAGAACCCAATGAAGCTTTATAGTTTGAAGCCCCTGTGCATATTCCCCACCATACACTAGAGGAGACGTGTGTCTTTAAAAAAAAAAGTGTGAAGTCTGTGGATGATGAGCTGACAGGTCATGGCAGTCTACATCAGAGCCCCACTAGAGCTGCATTTTTGGAGCTTTTACAGATTTTAATGAGTCAGAAATTTTTGTGTCTAGATATCGGCCAATATTAGTGTGTGTGTAAGACACATATTTGAAGAGTTAATTTGCAAAAACAGATAACTCCATCTTTGTAGATTTTTAGAAAACATATTTTTTTGTTGTTTGCTTGGGATAATATCAATCAAACTGAAGTTGAGTAGATTTGACGCAGTAGAAATGACGTGACAAAAATAGAGACAACTCAAGTTTGATTGATACTGTCTCAGACAGACGATGGAAAAGTGGGCTTTCTGAAGGTTTGTGAAGAAGGAATTATCTGTTTTTGCAAATTAACTCTTCATTTCTTTTAAGCAATATAATTCACAAACCAGTTAGCAGCTTACCATGAAGACAAAGCTTGACTTTGACCACCACCTGCACAGCTTTGACACTTACTCTGCTACATGTGCTGCAGGTAGTACTGAAAATATAATAAACGAAGAAGTCGGAGCTTCTCTGCTGCAGAAACTATGTGATCTCTGTGACAATTATCTCTATCTACATTATCTCAAGTCTCTAGTTTTTTCTATACGCTATTCTGTTAAAATTTCACAATGCTGTAAATATCAGACTACATAACAATATATCAGTGACAGGCAAATATTGGCCAAAAATATCAGTTAACTGACATATCGGTTGGGTTGTCGTCTACTGTATTTATGTGTTCGACATGTTTGCCTTTACAGCAATGTATTTTGTAAATTATTAAGCAGCTTGTCATGAAGACAAAATTCGACTAACAAAGCTTGGTACCACCATCTGCTCAGCTGTGACGCTGACTCTGCTACATGTGCTGAAGACTCCGTTGAAACAATACGAAACCCCGGAGTCTGCAGGAACTATGTGATGACAAAGTTTCCAAATTACCCCAAGTATCTTTTTCTGTATGATGTTCTGTACAAGAAAGTGTTAACACCTGTGTATAGCGAGCGACACATTACTATGGAACAAAATAATAATGCTCCTAATTATTTCATATTTATTTCTCATTTAAAAATTGACCTTGCAAAATGGTATCCTTTTTTTGCTTGTGTTAGTATTTTACACCATTCTATTTTATTAACTGATTTTACTAGGTTTATGATGTCTATACATTTCTAGACAGACAAAAGGACTTCTTGCACACATATACTGCACCAATGCAAGAGCAAGACTGACTGATTTGTTTCCCTAGCATTCTCAGTGCCTCACTTTTCTTTTTGTTTGCTTTGATTAGAAAAAAAAACAGACTTAATATTCTAATTTAAGACTACAAGTAGGAAATTCTATTTTTCTGCTATTTAGATGCTGTAGTCTCACTTGCATTCCAGGAAGTTTGAGGTAAGACATTTCCTGCTTGATAACATGGTCATGCGGCCCAGACGCGATAATGCCTCCCTGACTGATATGAAAGAAGTCTTTCTTGGTTTGAGACGCCCTACACTGTCAGAGACTCCACTGATTCAGCCCGACTGTGCACAAAGTGAGGAAATAACCCAGATAATGAACTCACTCATTTGGCCCTTTTAACCTCAGGGTGAAATCCCTTTTTACACATCAACTTATGTGTGGAAATAAAAACTGTATTAGTAGGCATTACTCTGAGCGCCTCAGATCAGGTGACCTGACGCTTAGCAGTAATCGCCACTCGGGTGACATGCTGTTGGTGTGCCCCCCACCCACCCCCAGTTGGCTCAGTGGTTCACAGGTCACTGCTCCACCTCTTCTTCAGCTGAATCATGTGAGAACAATGTCAAACTCTGCAGATGAGCAGGAGGAGGAAGCTCAACCAAAGTGAACCAAAGTACACAGAGACCGCATTCGTCTTTGGGTTTTCCCTGTTACATTATCTGACTCCGTCACTTTGCTTTGTCTCTGTGTTATCACAGACAGAGAAGGTCAAAGAAAGATGTCACATAAAAGATGACACATTCTACAAACAATAAAGACAATAGGCAACGTAGTGCAGAGTTTTAAAACTGAAGAAATAAACAGGCTTCTACATCATCTGCAGTGGGAACAAAGAAAACTTCCAATTCTTTGTGGTGCATTTTTGTGCCATGAACGTAGAAACTGAAACTCACAGTGCAAAAGGTGCAAGTGGTTTGTTAAACTCGAGCCACTCTAACTGTCTGGTGCGCAGGGATGCTGGGTTAAGCTGTGACTTATCAATCAGCCAACTACAGTGTTTAACAATTTGATTTAGCGAGGTTCTGCACTTTAAAAGATAGATATCCAAACCAAAACACCAAAGAAGAAATTGATTTTGTAAAAGCCAGACAAAATAAGGTGGTAATGGTTCTGTGATTGTGGAAATAGGGCAATTTCCTCAAACAAGACAGCCGCTGATTCGTCCTTTCTGCACAGCTAAATCCATGTCTTCAGTTGTTCCTCTTTACATTCTACTTTAAATTCAGCTTGCAGAGCCCACGTCCTTGTGGTCAAATGGAAAAGATGAAATGCTACCAGCTCCTCCGGCTACATCTAACACCTCATAAATAGGCTGGACACACCAGTGTAAAGCTGCACACAATCAGGACGGATGGTCTGAGAATAGTGAGAAAATTGAACCTAACTTTATTTCCATAAATAGCTTCAGGTTAAACTTGTTAATCTTTCTAAATCCAGCTCGCTAACAGAGTTGGTGTTCCTCATTTCCACATGATAATCGAGTTTGGGCTATTAAAAATAGCTCCAGCATAATGCAATTTTCATGAAATATGAGCTAATGTAAGAAACATGCAACACAAACAAACTTGCCATCATGTGTTTGAATGAACGTGCACTGATAAAACCAGCAGCACTTCTAATGCCGTTCGTAAATCTCACACGTCATCTGTAAGAGGTCCATGTTCACTAGCCAGAAACAGCTAATTGAGTAAATAGGCTGGAATAGACCCACGGAGAGCCAAATGAGAACCCTCCCCTGTCCCCGTTACTGTAATGATTTCCACATTTCCTCTTTTTTCCCCCCCTTGCCTCATTGATGGAATGTAAGCCATAGTAAGTCAATAGCAGAGAGAAAACAACAACGCCTTCCCTCCAATTGCATTTAGCTGCACTGCAGTCCAATAACATTACACGGAACTACTCTCGCTCTTTTCTGGTATAGTTCTTCCTTGTCCTGGGTTTATATTCAGACCAGAGGAAACAAAAACACGGGGGATGGATGGAGCACGGCTGATGATCTAAAGGTCATCGCCCTCGACACCCCTCCGCTCCAATAGCCAATTACATCTCATTAGAGAAGCACTGGGAGCCTCATCATGATGCACGGCGCTTTCACATCAGTGCAGATTATCTTTTATTCAGCTGGTTGTCTTCCAGCTGATCCCCTAAAAACAGATGTCGTAATAACAATTTAACACTCATTACTACAGCTGAAGCGGTCGTCACTATGACTGCTATGTGACATCAAGCCTCTACTTTATCCAGCAAATTTGTTACAGATAATGAAATGGTGAGAAAATATAATCGTTCAACCATTTTAAAGCTCCTCTGAGGTCAATAATTAAAGCCCTAAAATTCCATGTAACAAAATGACATATTTAAAGGTGTTTTCTCCATGAAAAAAATCCCTTAGATGTACCTCAACACTGTTGCCTTATCTAAATCTCCAGTCTACACTCATCCCTCCCTACCTGCTGCATCTCAACTATGGACATGCTAACAAGGTAAAAAAACAACAACTTGATTCTTACCAGAAGGGGTCTCATAAATACACCTGGAGTTACCATACTTATGACCCCTGTGTGACAGATAGTCACTATTTTATCCGGTTTTTCTTTCAGAAATCAGATGATTTCTGAAATGATGATTTCAGATTTAGCAATTTCCCTGAGGTTTCCACCAAAGGGATCAATAAAGTCCTATTCTATTCTTCTATTCTATGAAATAGTGGAAAATTGAACCACATTAAAATACATTTACAACAGCGACCTGCACCACCAAATCAAGTATTATCAACTCAGTCTGTACAACAACTAAACTGCCTTTCTTAATTATGTTTTGAGGGAAACATCATTTTTATCAGATTACTTTTGTTTGTAGTGTATCACAAATTTGTTTCTAATGGACTTATATTTGGCATTTATTTTACAGTTTCATAGTCGCTCCTTTTCAGTCAACCAATCATATAATAAATGGGACGGGGTCACTGAGGCGCTTCAAGCATGTAGGTAAAGGGTCATATTTTACCCCAAACTATGACATATTTCCTACATCTGACCAAGCAGTTTCGATGAATTACCTTAACCAAGCTTGTAACATAAAAGTAAAATGCAGAAGTGTCCAACAAAGCATTTTATTCCTGAACTCAATCATGTAGTTCTCGTGCCTCAACAGCCAAGTGAAAACTATAAGCAAAAAATGGCAGAAAACAAAACTTAATTTAGAGACTGATGGTCTTTCAATCATGGGACATGAACTCTGGTTTTCTGGGTTCAAAGTCCTCCTTTCTCTCCTCCAACCTCCTAATTTGAACTTGGTCACTCTTTCAAACTGGGCCCTTTTCCCACCAAGGCACAGCTCACAAATTACATTCATGTCAAAGTTCCCCTAAAAACGTAATTGAGAATGCAGTTTAGTTGAACAGGAACGTAATTTTGTGGAGACAGAGTTGGTGTTATTGCACGAATGAGCAATTAAGTGGTTGCACAAGACTAGAAACAGTAAAAAGTGCATATTTTCCCCTTTAAACAAGCAAGGAATCGACTGATTATCAGCCTGGCTGATTATCAGATCCGATATTCAGTATTTTTTAGATTCTCTGTATTTGCAGTTGTTATTAACAGTTTCCTGATTATACAAATTCATCTAAAAATGTGCAGCTTTGGCTCTGATGCCATCTTTCTCCATCTGCAGTCACCCTGTGGTCTCCAGCATTGTCCCGCCCACAGCACTGTCTGATTGGCTAAACATCATGGCTAACAGCCAGTCAAGACTGAAGGATAAATGTTGGACGGTTCCCTTTTAATTAAACATATATAAAACATGAATTAACTAAGGCATTTCATTGAGTTTTGGAGTTTTTCTAAATTTTGAAACCAAGATTTTATTTGCACTGCGGCTCCAAATATCGTTTATCTGTCTCCTTGATTGCGAATAATCGGTATCGGCCTTGATTAAAACACATCAGTCAACCCCTACTTTACACCAGGGATCTGCAGCAGGCATTATTGCACCTATCAGCAATTAAATGGTTGCACAAGACACACTGACATGAAGGTTTAACAGGGACCCATATTTACCCCTTTATACAAGCTAAACGTTATAAAGAAGACGTTATGTTAGAAATTAGACATCATAGTGTGTTTTCCTACTGATGGTCTCCACATCTGTAGAATGTAACTTGCTGAAACTTGCTGTTTTCTGCCTCCTGTCTGGTCAGTGCACATGTGACAGGGCACTAACATGAGGGAACGAACCAGAGCTGTTGCAACAGAGCCCGTCTGTCTGTCTGTGCCACTGCCGGGTTCATGTGAGGATATTTTCCTTCCTTCCTCACTGGTCATAGCTCTGATTCCCTGCTCTCACACAGACATCCAGCCTCACCATGACAGATCCGCACATTACGAGGCCGGTCCCTGATGTGTCTGCTCCCCGCAGCCAGCCGACTGTTCGCCATGAAAGGCAGGGGGACTGTGCGCTGTGTTTGCGCACATCTCCGCACATCTCACGCAATAACTGGAAGGTCTGAGGGCGCATGAGGCTCCGCTGACATGAGCAGGGCGCAGACAGACGTCCCCGTGTTAAATAATAACCTGTTATTTCCCCTTCACGCTCAGCTGGCGTACATTTAATAAAGCAGCTCAGACACTACGCGTTGGTGCTGATACGAGCTAGCTGCGCACATCGCCTGAGAAATAGGGGGGAAAGGGGCTTTAATTCCGTTTAAGACCGACTCCACGCTACTGGCCGAATAATTCCCAGTTAATCCACGTGCTAATGTTAAAACGAATTAATGTTTCCGCGACGCAAAAAAAATGAGAAAAGCCTCGGCTCACGCTCTCCGCTGCTTTAATGTAATTCTTCCATAAAATGCCAGTTTGGTCACAAACGCCAACATTTACTCACCTTTCAAGCAGACGAGCGCAGCAGCAGCTTCCTCAGCGAACCGCTTTCTCTCAGCTAACAATGAATGAGAGCCGGAATACTTGGAAATAAATAGATAAGGTCGCTATTTATCTCTACATTGCGGTCCAGTCGAAGCGACTCCAGACTGAAGCTGCGCACGCAGCATCGTCAGCGGGTCCTCCCTCCTCCTCCTCCTCCTCCTCCTCCTCCACAGGACAGAAAAACAGCAGATGAAGAAGAAATGTGAAACAAATAAATGGAAATACTATGCAGTAGAAGATTTTTTTTAAAAAAAAAGAAAAAAATCAGTCATGTTGGTTTTTTAAATAAAAAAGTTTTTTAATGTGTTTTATTTTACATGGTGTGCCCTTTCATGCCTGTCCAAAAATGCGGGTAAAGCTTTAATTTAAGGGTCTTTTATTTCCAAATGGTTCTCATTAGGTTTCTTCGAAAAACAGTACAGTATTTCAGAGCAATGGACACATTTTTGAACTCATTCCCAATTAATTTAATTTAAAAACAAGGGGTTGAACCTGAGGGGTCCTGAGGTTCAAGGAAGTAGCAAATATGAGATTTATATGTATTCAAATACATAACTGACACAATAATGTCTCCAATCATACAGTTTAAATATGATCTTGATTAAATGTAACTTTAACCAACCAATGACTGACTAAAAATTAGAGGACAACACAATGGTCTTGACAAAGACAGCTCACATGGGCGGGACTTCATGTGTGGAGGCTTAATTATAATCCCAACACATGTTTTAAAGAAAACTATCATCAATATTCATTCTTTTCAAAAAAGCACCCCAGACAAACAGCTTGCATTACATTATTGGAAAGAAGTATGTGATTTTATAGTATTTTGGTAAATATTTGAGACAGTATTCAATAACCTAAATCCATTAATTGTGAGTACAGCTGAGACAGTAGATCCTAAATTGTGGGTTAAGCTCTTAACAAGGGCTTAAAGCTGGGGGGTCCTGAGGTTCTTACTAGGTCATGAAAGGAGGATATATGACATTTACATCTAGGCCTGCATATTACTGACATGTTGATAATGTTTTCAATCATACAATTTTAAATAATCTTGAAGTGTAACTTTAACCAGTCATTAACTGAATAAGTTATTACTGGACAACACAATGGTCTCGACAAAGACAGCTAACATGGGTGGGATTGAATATGTGGAGGCTTAATCATAGTTCCAACACATGTTTTCATGAAAATAAGGTACTAAGGTAGTATCTTAGTTCCTCTAGGTCCAATTTAGAGTTTTGTGTAATAAGCTTTTTATATATATATATACTTGATTAAATAAAACATTCATCAGCCACAACACTACAAAAAAAAACCAAAAAATAATAATCAACATGAATGCCCACAGTAATAATCTGAAAAAGAAAGGAAACAAGAGTAGCATTGAATGTAAAGAAGCTTTTTTTTGTTAATTTAGTACATAGTTCAGTATGTTTTCTGTGTGCTAAAATATTCTTTCTTTTCAAACAGTGCTCTCGACAGCTTTATCCTGGTGACTCGGCTGATGACAGCAGAGGTGGAGAATGGAGTTTGGCAGCTGAGGATGAGAGTCTGGTAGGGACAGAGCTGGGTGAGCAGGATCCCCTGGGCCTCCATATCAGTCCCAGCCAGCCTCAGGCTCTGCCTTGGGGCCCCGGGGCCTCTCATTGTTCCGCGGGGAGGCTGTTTAATGCACCATAATGAGCCTCGCAGTATACCCTGGTGGCTCGATGGTGACTTTGGTGTGGTTACCACCTCAGTGTCCCTCCCCCCTCCACCGGCTGCACGTAGTATTACTCACATGAGGAAACGTGTACAGCTCACTTCAATGTGTTGTTCACATGCTGCACCTCTCCGATCAGCAGCCAAAGATCCAGCAGTGAATATCAGACAGTTTTCTATCTAAGTGTAGATAGAAAGTCCTCGCAGGTGTTCTCATCTTGATGGTGAAAACCACTACATTCTTTTTGAATTTTATGTTGAAACATGATGAAAAATGTCATTGAAAATCCAAACAACAATGCTATATAATGAAATTGTCAGTCACTCATCCCATATAAATTGGATTCAATAATCCCAATGCTATACTTAATACTCATATGAATAAGTTCTCTTTACATTTAGGGACCAGATGAAAATTATTGAGATTAAAAAAATAAATAAATAACAAGACTCTCCTCATTGTTGCTCTCTTGACATAAAAACTGTGACATCATTTCCCTTCAATATCTCAAATAGACATATAATGCTAAATATAACATAGAGGTGAAAATATAGTGGATATCTATTTTTAAAGAAAGAGCTGCAAAATAAACTGTGGATACAGCTTCAGAAAGTAAAAGGGGACTTGAGAACTGTGTTGTTTAAATACCACCCCCTAATAAAACAAATAAAAATGAATAAAAACATGATGCTGAACTTGTAATGCTTAACTTTGATAATACCATAAGGTATGGTTGATGACAGGCACACAAAATGTATGTATGAACTGTGTTTTTTCCCCTTTCCATCCATATAATATGAATAAGAAGAAAAAGTAAGTTTGTAAGAGATGTCTTACTTCTCTGCAGTTCTGCTGTCTGTTAAGATTCAGAATGAAAGGAGAGAAAAACACTCTTGCTGGAGACATTCAGCCAATAATTAGCTTCACATGTGCTGTGTTTTGCATTATGAACAACAACTGATGAGGAAAATTAAGTCCTGTATATGTTCAGAAAGATTGTACGCCTCAATGTGTGTGTGTGTGTGTGTGTGTGTGTGTGTGTGTGTGTGTGTGTGTGTGTGTGTGTGTGTGTGTGTGAAATGAAAAATAAGGAAACTCTCTCCTGCTGTTTCTGGCTGTTTACAGTTGTCATTGGTACTGTTGGTAAATGAGTCAGTACCACTGGTGGAGGTGGGAAATTCCAAGCAGAAACTTCTTGATCTGAAAAATGAAGGCAACACTAAAGTAACAAATACTGCAGTTCCTCAAAACACCACTTGAGGCGAGCTCTAAAAATAAATCAATCCCCATAGACCGCCATGTTAAAATGTCCAACTTTATAGCAGAAATACACATGTTTACAACCTGGTGCAAAATGCAGTTTTGGTATCTGTAGCTACTTTTCCCATTCATGACAACTGCAAGTGGGGTTAATTTTTATACAACTCACCCGTTTGAATTGCATTAAGGCTTAAAGTTCTGCATAATTAAGGGCATGGCTGCCAACCCATTCAGTAGTACATAATGGACTGCATCTCATCATTCTGCTGTAAGGGATGAAAACCCTCTGTTTGTTTGTATTTATTAAATCCAATCACAATTATCTCAGGTGGGGCTAAGCAAAAGATGGGACTTTGCTTATCCTCAGAAGTACACAGGGAGATGAAT